TAGCGTGGTCCAGCGCGCATGACTGCAGTTTCTTACACCAAAACACGCTGTTCCTTGAGCGTGCATCAGGGTGCTTCCCATGTTTACTGACCAACTCGCAAATTCCGCTTCTCAGTAGCGGCTCCCATTCCATCACGAATCTTTGCAATTCTTTGCTGTCGGACAAGTGAGCAGGATAGCACTCACGCAAAAGGTTAACCACTTGGGACATATAGCCTATTGCAGTAGCCTTGGCATGAGAGCCGCCTCGTGCACTCGGCTTAGTTTGCATGAAAATTGAAAAGTAGTTAGCAAAGAGTAGAAATATTGGCTGGCAAATGTTCCAGAAGCAGACAAAGTCTTAGCAATACTATCATTGAGTCCTCTTTCGTGTTTCCAAGAGCTAAGAATTCGAGGAAGAACTTTATTGCAGCTGCCTCCTGGCCCGCTTTCCCTTCCGGGACATCTAGCCCTCTCTCAGCTCGCTGCACACTTTCAAATGAAATCACTACAGCCATTAGTTAAATGAACTATTACGTTGGGGTTTTATGGTAAATTATGAAAGTACATATATTTACTCTTGGAATTTATAAAGTCATTTATCGGATTATTTTCGCTTTTTTCTCAAGATAATGAGGAAATACTGGGAATCTACTTGAATGGTCGCTGATTGGCAAAAAAAAAAAAGACATTATTTCTCATTGGTGATATGTGTGGCAACACAAACTTGACCTAAGTACCCAGTTGGAATTAACGTATCATAAATCAAAAGGAGGATTTTTTTTTACTTAATTTGACTGTAGAAAAGGGAGACAGGTACTTTACTTTTTTAAGGGTGAAAAAGGGGTCCTAAAAGGAATATGCCACTTTTATAGGCTTGTTTGTCGAGCGGAATTTAACATTCCAGAGCTAGCTGGATATTATTTTGTTTATTCGGAAACACTGGAGCCCAGGATTACAACAATAGATTTTCATCTGGATTTATACAGGTTTATCATCCGGATTTATCCAGGACCGAAACTTCCAGTCGGTAACGAATTTTATTTTTCATTCGCTGCCTATGAGACATGCTCACTCAGATCCTGAAACTATCAGCCCGATGGCAAGCGGCGCGCGAGGAACGCGAGGAAGGGCGGCGCGACCTGGACCAGGTTCGTGGAGGTCCTCGCCACGTACGCGCTCTTCACCTCGTACGCGCGCTAGTGCTAACACTCGAACGACCGTTACGGCGACGATCAAGGAAGCCCAAGCGTCCGATCCCGGAGCTTTTCCTGACAAGACCGAGGTTGCGGCCACCGCCAACGACGCCGCAGGCATGGAGCAGGCCGCGGATGCTAGTGAAGCGTCTGTTGTCGAGCAGCCGGGCACTCACGACGGCGTCGCAGGCGTGGAACAGGCCGCAGATGCTGGTGGAGCGTCTATTGTCGAGCAGCCGGGCACTCACGACGACGTCGCAGGCGTGGAGCAGGCCGCGGATGCTGGTGGAGCGTCTATTGTCGAGCAGGGTGTTGGCATCACTGTGGTGGGCGACGCTGCCGAAATGAGTGACTGCAAAGAGGCTGGGGGCGTGTACATCCATTTGAACGACGAGGGCGGAAGCGAATACGGTGATGCGGAGCATGAGGCAAGCCAAGCTGGGGTTCAAGATTCGGGTGGCGAAGATCAATCTATTCAGGATTCTGTCCAGGATTTCGTCCAGGATTTCGAGTCGGACCATGCCAGAAGCGCTGGGTCGTCTTCTCAGTCGGAGGCAAGCAAGGTTACGGTTCTAGCTCCGCAAACGTGGCACGTCGACTGGAAGGCGTGGCAGGTATACTTTGACGAGTACTGTGAAGAGACGATGCAAGTGATCTCTATACTCGAAACCATGGGTCGTGCAGAGCGTAACAGACGGCTCAAGAAGACGAAAAAAGGGGTTAATGAGGCGTTACTGATCCCAGAAGGCCTTGATCCGTATCAGAGGACCTACATCTGTACGCACGGGTGGCCACAGAGGAAGTCTCGAGGCTCGGGAAAGCGTCCACGTCAGTACATCCGCGAGATGGACTGTCCTTTCCGGTTTGTGGTGCAGTGGCAGCTGCACAAGGGCGAGTGGAAGCTAGGTGTGAAATTGGGGAGGTTCTCTCACAACCATTCGGTCAGTAGCGATACATACGCGACGTACCCGTGTGCCCGCGGTGTTAGTGATGTTGTGGTTGGAGCACGAGTGGAGGGTATGCTGGCCGTCGGTGCTAAACGCTCCAAAATCTACGACTACCTGCTCGAGCATGACCAGAATGTGATCAAGGCCGACGTGGACAACATGGTGCAGAGTTTTGCTTCGTCGGTGTCATCCCTGGACGACAACGATGCTACAGCAGCCCAAGTTGGCGCTCTAGCTGCTGCAGACAAAATGAGCTGTACACGTATTGCTGAGACCGCGACTGGAGAGACTGGAGTTCTATCGATGTCTACAGCGTTCATGCGTCAGAATTTCAGCCGTTTTGGTGAGTTCCTGCTAGTGGACTGTACACACAAAACGAATCGGTACGCAGTCTGTTTCCTGAGATATTAGTCATGTA